ACTGCCCTCCTCCCCCTCCCTACCTGCTCACATGTCTGGCAGGGGAAATGGCCATGCCAAGTGACCTGTTAGTGGGAGTCTGGCAGACAGAGAAGAAAAGCAAAGAAGATCTAGCTCAAGCCTGAGCAACTAATGTTCATCACAGAACTAATGTGCCAGAGCTGAGCCAGGGAACCCTGGCCATGTTGACTCTTAGGGAAGTCACTAGGAAGGAGCTCAGACTAGGCGTGTGAAGGCACTCTAGGTAGGTGTAAGCTAAGTAAAGAGGGAGGGGAGGTGATGCCTAGCGCCAGGTGGCACAAGAAGAGGTGCAAGGAGATGCAGATATTAAAGCACAATCTGCAAGCAGGTGCCCTGAACACAGCAAGCAAACAGGAAGGCAAGAAAGGGAAAACCTGGCCTGCATCTTGCTTGGAAACCCCAGAGGGAGAGAAGAAGGCTGACCTCTGAGAACAGAGTTTCTACAAGGCAGAAGTGGCAGACAACGCGGTGATTCCAATTCTTCATCTCCCCATCTATCTCCAGATAGCCACATACCCAGTGTGAGGAGCGTGTTATGGGACAGGAGGAAGGACTGTGACATCTGAATATGCTTCTAGCAAGTGGCTTCTTTTCCAGACAGATTTGCATAGGTGGGAGGAAGTGTTTCAGGTTGGCACTAGGTAACATTCCAAACGGAGAGGGGAGGCAGATAAAGGGGAGCCAAGGTGTCCAGGAAAGGGGGGCACAGATGTACCTCAGTAGAGCCCCACCCTGCAGAGCTGGAGACCAACAGCGAGCAATTGTGCTCCAGCTTACCACAGAACCAGCAACGAACATGGTGTGCGAACACAGGGCATGAGCAAACATCACCCTTGTCAGTCTGTCACCCATGCACCCCTCTCATAGCCCCACCCAACATTCCATCTCAACACAGTCTGAGCCTGGCCTCACTGGGAGGCTAGGGAAGCACCCTGGGGGAAGGGCACGCCTAGCAAGGGCACTGGAAGGCTTGGGTTCTGGAGTTTGAGTGGTGTGGGCATCCCGTACTGATAGCAATGGAAAGGTTCAGCTCTTGCCAAAACCCAAGGCTTGGCTTTCCAGCCAGGTGCAGGCCAGCCCACTGATCTGTGTGCCTCAGGACATCTGGGCTAGAGTGGTCACATGTGGAGGCTCCCTTAATTAGAGTCACAGTGGCCACAGGAAACAAAGCATGAAGGAGCAACCTAGAGGCCAAGTGCATGGAACATGAGGAGCCCATCAGGCTGGAGAAGAGAGCGCTGGGGCCTGGCTCAACCCTGTCCACTTAGCATCTCTTTCAGGCCAGTGAAGAGAGGCACTCCTGCCTGGAGCCAGCAGGTAAGGGCAGAGCTGGGTAATCCTGTAATTACAGGGTACACTCCAGCCTCAATCATAAGCAGATGAGCACTTTAGGGGCTTCTCCATCACCGAATCAGCATTGTTCACAGACGACTGAACCCCCACCAGCAGGCTCACTGTTCTTAAGAACAGCTATGAGACTCTCACTCCTGATCAAAGCTGAACTTTGTAGGAACTGAGGACCACTTGATGAAAGGAACAAAAAGATAACCCCAGGGCATAGGGCAGCCATGGATGCCTAATTCAGGAGAACTCATGGCCTCCTGACCCCATCCACAGACCAATGTCTGTGATCCTGCCCATCAGAGGAAGCTTGCCAAAGAGTTGAAGCTGCCATGGAGTAAGGAGTCTGGGGCAGCATGAGTGCTTTTTTCTCCTCTTTCTCCAGAGCAGACACATATCTCTAATCAACAGGCCACTTTTAATGTGTAATAGTTGTGGTGGATGACTTTCCCTTTCAGGCAGTGTGTTCAGAAGAGCAACAGACACAGGGTCTGAGTGTGAGTGTGTGTGTGTGTGTGTGTGTGTGTGTGTGTGTGTGTGTGTGAATGTGGGTGTATATGCACATATGTGTAAAAGGCAGAGGCCAACCTCAGAAGCTGTCCATCTTGGTTTTTGAGACACGGTCTCTCACTGGGACCCAAGGCTCAGTGAACAGGACAAGGTGAATTTGCCTGTCTTTGTTCTTCCAGCACTAGAGATACAGGTACATGGTCACTACACTGCTTCCAGAACCAGACCTTCACTCATGATTGCACAGCGAGCACTTTATTGACTGTGTCATCTCCCCAGGCTGCTAGATGCTTTATAACACTCTACATCAGCTCCTTCCTGGGAAAGCAGCCATAGTAGCAACCACACTGTTTCCCTTTGGATTAGTGTGGACATTTAAGAGATCAGGTATGGACAGAGCCTAGTCCAATCTCTGAACCATACTAGGTCCTGCACAAAAAATGAGACCCACAGTATTTTCATGACTGTAAATACATCTGGATGAGTAAGACCTGCCTTGATGTGGCCAAAGGGAGTAATGACTAACGGAACCCAAGACTCCAGACTACCATATTGAAAACAGCATGTTTGCACTGCAACAACTATCCCAGGAATGCCCTCTTCTTCCTTAGGGTCTGGGGAGTTTACCATTTGTAATGACATAATCAGCTTCCGCTGTAGCTATAACAACTATACCAAGAATAGCTAGCTCTCCTGTTCCTCCTTCTGGTTGGGGAGTTTTAACCAGCATCCAGAAGCAGGTTGGGCCGGTTTGCCAGCTTGTGGCTGGCAGACACCTGTAACTTTGTTGCCTGGGCACCTCCCAGAGCCAGTCCTCCAGATATCAGGTGTGCTCTGGGAAGGGGATAGGAGGACAACAAACTGACCATAAAAGCAACCTAACAAATGCCAAGTCACAGAGATGGTCTGCAGGGCTCCAGGGAGCAGGATCTGAAATTCAAAGTAACAAAGAAATGGGTACACATCATGTGGTCAGTGGGACAGGCATGGAAGTTCAGCCTCTGTGTACTTTCTCATTCTTTCTTCCCCTCTTTTCTGACTCGGAGGAGGCATGTTCTGCAAGGGGAGGCCCAGATTACAGTGAGGGAGGGGAAAGGCTCTAGGAGAGGGATGGGCTCAGGTACTCTTGGCAAGTGGACAGTGCTATGTGGGCAATGGCACTTTGGGGTCTCTCAGACCAGCAAGAGACAAAAGCTTGAGAAGCATCTGCTCCTATGATTGAGACCTGGAGACCCCTGGCTATCAGCTGGCACAGGCCCCTACCCTAAGCCCCACACCATTCCACCACTCTAGCTGCTATGACACTTTCTAAGGGGTCGTCAAGACCTTTCCAAGGCCCATCAACTATAAGGATGTATATCTCTCTCCAAAGGAGACTTCCAAGGCACTGTTGTCTCAATTGAATTAGGCTGGTTACAAAATGTTCCCAAGACTGGCTCCATCAGAGGCAGTCCCCAATCCCAAAGGTAGTTTACCAACTGAATTCTCTCTGGGAGGTGGTGGCAGGCCAGGCAGACAGTGGAATCCAGAGACAACTAACCTGGGTTATTTGTGAAACCATGGCAGGACCCAGGACCTGACTATCCTCTCTTACAACACAGAGCTAACAGTATGGGAAGTGGCCAAGCCACAAACGCTAATGGTTCTGTGGCTTTCATGCCTCCTGCCCTTTAACTTTTTTTTTTTTTTTTCCTGAAGGCACATTTCTTCCAAACCTTTGAGCCCAATAGCTGCCACTGTCCAGCCCCATTCCTATGCCCAGTGCATCTATCACAAGGCAGATGCTGACTTCCAAGAGCCAGTTCAGTTGAAGCCAAGATGTTGGGTTGCTGCCTCTAACTAGAGCAAAAGCAAGTGAGCCAGGAGCCGCCTGCATCGCAACTTCAGTGGGGAGATTGTGAAAACCACCCACAGCCAAGGCGAGGGCAGCCAACTTGGCCATTCCTGGCCTAGTCCACCATCTCCCTTCCCCCGCTGAAGACTGCAGGCCCTCTGTGTTCTACTGTGAACTGAAGCACTCACAACTCCTCCAAAAAGACTTCAAAGGCTCAACAACGGACTTTCATTCCCTGTTTCCCTCCTGTAAAAGGACTTGTTAGAAAGTAAAAGCAATATAAGTCAGAGTGAGAATTAACGGTTAATGAGGGCAGCGATGCGCCACACTTCACACACCCTAGCACACTCTCCTCTACAGCATGTCTTTAAGAACTAGGAGAACATCTAACAGCCTGTGCACCACTGCCCACTGTGGGAACACACAGCACACAGTAACTGGGGCAGCTGCCCCAAAGCCACAATATTAACAGCCACTACCTCTGTATTGTTAACAGGAAGCCAGCTGGATGGCACACACCTGGTCGAGAAAGCCACTCAACTAGGTAACCCCAGAGGCCCAGTGGGAGACAGAATACACACCCACCAGGACCCTGGGAGACATGAGGCCCATGGAACAGGTAAGCCTCCTCTGAAACAGGGACAGGATCAGTGACTTCACAAGACCAAGGCTGCCACAAATACTCTCTTGCCTGAACAACACCAACAAACAGGGCCTTCCCCCTCTCCACCCAGGAGGAAAAGAATAGCAGGAGAGAGGTCTCTGGCTATGTCCCATCCCAGCCCATTTCTAACAGCAAGGCAAATCCTGGATTCAGGTGGGGAAGGGACAGGGTGACTGAGCTGGCAAGGAGCCAAAACAATAAACACCAGATCCCTCTCAGCCCAGACAGCTGGGCATCATCTCTGAACCTCAGGATTAGCAGGAATAGATAGTAAATATTAAAAGGTACATATGCGCACATATAATTTTAGTTTTCTTATTAATTGAGCAGATTTTTTTCTTTAATTGTTAGGTTTGCTTTTAAATAAATGCTTCCAACAGGAAATTAATTCTGGTACAAAAAAAAGTCATGTGACTCTCTGAAAAGACAGTATAATCCTATCTTAGTTGTAATGAATAGAGAACTCTCGGTCTCTCACTTTTAAGAAAACCCTATGTTAAGTATACCTCTCAACCCCATTACCACCGCTGTGCCAGGGGTGTCAATGGCGTGGGAGGTAACTCACACAAAGAGTGCACCCCATGATGACCAAGGAAGACTAGCAGGTGCCAGCCACAAAGGAAGACTTACTTGGGTGTGCCAGTGGGCTTCCAGTACCTACAAAAGAGGTACTGCCCGTCTGCGTTGACCAGGTGAGGCAGGTCCTGGTAGGGAACATTCTGGGGAGTTCGCCTGGGAGAACTTGCCTCAGGCATCCTGTAGAGGTCTTCTGGCCCTTGGGAGAAAGTGGACATATTCTAAAGTCAGAAATATACTCATATCCATTGGGGAGGAAAGAAATCCTTGTTCAGGGTCAGGACAGTGGCTTTTTTTTTTTTCTTTTTTTCTTTTTCTAGGCAGCTTAAAAAAAAAACCTCAATTTGATATATATACTTGAAATAACATACATTTCTTGCAAACCTCTCTAAGTCTTAAAACTCACACTTGTCCTTAAGTCCTTATTTTTTTTTAAAGTGCTTCATTACAGCCCCCTCCCATCTGTGTTTATTTTAAATCATCTCAGGAAACTTCATCTTAAAGACTGTTTTAGCTGTAATCAAGCGGAAATTACAGTCAGTTCCGTGGGTACAAAGCCCCAGCTGCAAGGACCCATCTCTCCTAAAATCTCCACTGAGTGGATTCTATGGGGCCATAATAAGTAAGTTACGAGCCCCGAGCTATATCTCCTTTCTGAATGCCAAAGATGCCATGACAAACCTGTTTCCATTCCGTCCTGGCTTTCGCATTCCACTACCGCCACACAGCCTCGAGTATCAGCGCCAGGCAAACGAGGGCTGTTCCCTCATCGCGGCCGCAGGGCAGCACCGCGGGGTCCGCGCCCTCCCCGCCTGGGCTGCAGGGGTGCGAGCTGCTCCCTCCTGCCGCTCCAGCTCTAGCTCATGTCACCACTTTTCCAGAACACACCCCTGAAGGGGTTCCGGGAGCGAGGGATAGCCGGTCCCCAGCCCGGAGCTGCTGCAAGACGCGCTCCGCGGCACCGCGCATTCGCGCAGATGCGGGTCCCCGAGCAAAGTCACCCCGATTCTCCGACAAACTTTGCCTCCTGCCCGCCCGCGATTGCTTGGGGAAGGAAGCCCCGCGGCTGTCATCGGCACGCCACACACAGCGGGGACTTGGCCCGTGTCCCCACACCGGGCTGGGAAGATGCAGTTGACGGCACAAGTCGGTTTGGGGGTTGGTGCGAGGGCGAGAGGGGCGCGCTCACGCTGACACGCGCGCACACTCGTGCGCACGCACACGCGCGCAGGGGACCCCTGGCGGTGGCTCCTACCCTGAGGCAGGGGCGGAAGGCAGTTACCCGGGCCACGAGCGCCGCTGTCACGTCCCCTGAGCGCCACGCGGGTCCGGGTCTGCGAAGAGCTAGAGCCAGACTACTGCGCGTGGCCGGCTGCGCGGCAATAGGGCGCGGCGTCTGCGCCGCCACTTTATCCCCAGCCGCTGGGCGGCGGGGGCGGCCCGCTGGGTGGGGACGCGCGGGGAGGCGGTGCCGGGGGCCCACGTGTGCCCGGCCCCCGGGGAGGAGCGGGGCACCGCCCGCCGACCTGCCACGCGCTCTTCCCAGCCCTACCGTCAGCTGCATGGGACTGTCACGGGGCCCTGAACCGAACTAAGGGGCTCTTCCAGCTCAGCCGCACAGGCAAGAGCACTGATCCACACACAGGTACAAGCTCACAAGTACTGAATGCACATGTTTACAGATGCACACGTGCGAGACCCACCTTCACATAGCGCAGGTGCAGGCACACCCAAATGGACACAAGGACACATCCTCAGGATCCTTACCCCAGATGCTAGCTGCACACAAGGGCACACATGATGTCACAGTTACTACAAGAATACAGACACACAACAGCGTGGACTCACAGTTCCTAGACACTATGTACACAGATAAAAACAATACACCACATGCACAGTGTAGACACAAAAACCACAGCTCCCAGCTTAAAGGGAATAAGATTATTTATTTTGGAGCCATTTTGAGTGGCCATGGCCTGGGAACACGGACTTAGGTTACCCAGATTCCATGTTCCAATGTGGAAGCAGTTTCAGGGAGTTTTTGTAGTTTTACAGAACAGAGGAAATCATAAATCAAGGCAAGTTTAAAATACATTAAAGGGTACACCAGAGAGGTAGGTACAGTGAGGTAGGGGAAGCTTTCCTGCAGGTTCAAGATTCCTTCTTAGCTTTTGGGTTGGTAGAAGCTAGTTATCCTGTTAAGTCAATGGATTCTAAAAGGTCTTTTATCTATTGCCACAAGATGTTAGTTCTGACAAAGAGGGCCAAGGAAGGAATGGCTGTTCCAGAGGGCCAGAATTTAGCCCAAGACAAGGTAATTCCCCTTTGGACCTGCAACATTTCAACCTCTCCACAGTACTGAAATTCTGATTCACCAGTCTCTGCAGATACAGATTCCTTTTAGTTTTCCTTCACAGCCAGATGCACTTCTCTCCAGTAGTTTTCATTCACAACAGAGATGAAACACACACCACACACACCCAGACAGGTAAAGACACATGGCATTCACACACAAGTGCTTAGAACCCTGGAGAAGGAACAGACACATCACACACACACACACACACACACACACACACACACACACACACACTTTCTCTCTGCATGAAACCACTTCCCTTAGGTACCCCAGAAGCCTGATCACACCACCACAGCTGTCTATGAGGCTGTGGAGAGTCTGGAATCAGCCTTAAATTTACAGCATGTCCACTGTGAACTATGCCTGACACCTGTGAGTGACAACTGCACTTTTTTCTTGGCAAACCACTTTGCAAAACAGCAGTATTGGATAGAGCCACTGTCGTGGGATAGTTGTGGCATCCACAGAAGTGAGGCGGCCACAGTCTGCATTCTAACTTGAAAATTAAAAGGAGGCCCTCCAGCTGCAGGCCATGCTGAAGGACTTAGCTCTCCCTCTGCCTTAGGCAGGTCTCCAAGGCTTGGACACAGAAAGAGTGGCTAGATGATTTCTTGGGGCTGTTTTTGTATTTTCTGGTAGGCCAGGATTAGAGGCAGCAGGCTCAGGGGAGGGGCTGGGAGCCTGGTCTCAAAGCAGGGCTGGGCCTCTTAGTTACATACCACTGTTTAACTGTGGTTTACAGAAAGGAAGGGTGGCCAGATCCGGCAGCCACTGTTTCGATATTTGCAGCACCAGTGTTTTGTGGCTTTCAGTGGTTTGAGAGTTTGAGAAGCGAGGTCAAAGGAGCTAGCAACAGGATCTCTCCTAAATTGTAGAGTTGCTCCCAACTGATCACAGACTGAGAGTTGAGAGATTAGGACCTGGGTGCAGTGTGCTGCTCCTGTAGTCTGGTTATTTAGGGAGTGGGGTTGGCCATCCCTAGAAGATATTAGTTCCATGCCATCCGGAGCAATAGTGGTGTTAAGGAGTTCAGATCCACTGGGGAAAGATCTGAACCAAATTATAATTAAATCGACTTACTGCTAGCAGGCTGACAGCCTTAAAACCCAATTGAAGGTGTGCCACACAGAAGGCTAGAGAGTGGCTTTTAAAGTAGGCACCACCATGACTGTAAGCTGAGTGAGAAACTGCTTTTACTCCCTCAGTTGTGAGGAGCTGTCTCTCTCCCCTGTATGCATCGATAAAGGAGCTGCCTCATGCCCTGGTACACATCTATAAGTGTGTTTAGAAAAACCAGAGTAAGCAGTTAATCCTCTCACATACTTTCACAATTTTGGGGAGGGAGACAAGGAGTCAGAGCTTCTGGGAACTTATGTTTTAGGAATTTAGATGGGTGCATAGAACAATATGGTGTCTTCCTTAGCTATCACAGTAGGACCCAGGGAGAGGGCCTCTAATGGTAACTTCTGACAAAACAGCAATATCACAGTGATATTAGATTGTATTTTTATTTTATTTTTTAATAGTGTCCCACTCTGTAGCTCTGGATGGCTCAGAACTCATAGATATCCACCTGCCTCTGCCTCCCAAGTGTTGGGATCAAAGATGTGTCCCATCATATCCGAATAACATTGGATTTATACAATCAAGAAACAGCATTTCCATCCACTGAGACCCCCTCATAACACCTTTATAGCCACATTTCCTTCCCTTTCTGATCCTTGTTCCCCACAACCTCTGCCAGCCTTAGCTTTGTTCTCTACTTCTAAATATTTTTTTTGTCATCTCAGGGTTTTTTTTTTTTTTTTTTTTTTTTTTGGTAAATGGAATCATGAGGTAGATATGCAACCTTTAGTACTTTTGCCATTTAGCACTGTCTGGATTATCTGGCTTCATGGTCCACGAATCACAGTACTGCCCCATTCACCTGATTAAGGAAAGTTCATCTGTGCAATTTCCAATTTGCAGCTAATCCTGAATAAAGCTACTGTGAACACTGGCTAGGCACAGCCACCCTCCCGGTGTACAGGATTGTTAACACAGGATTACTTTTGGTTCAAGATCAGCCTGGTCTGCATAGCTAGACTTTGTCCCAAATAAACAAGAAAGGAAAAGGAGATAGCTTGCTTAGTTTTCTAAAGAGCTGATAAAATGGTTTTCAAAGTAGGTGTATCTGCAGAAAATGAAAAGATGTGGATTCCTTCCAGACTAAAGTGGTTTGATCACACCAGACCGCCTGAAACAGAGTACAAGCTAATCCTACATTCAAAACAGCTGGACAAAACAGCCCTACAGATTACAGCCAGGATTTCTGAATCTTCTTCAAATCCCCCCAAGACAGCGCCCCTTACCAGCAGAAAGTAGTTTGGAAAGAACGATGCCCAAATTCCCAAATATTGTGTATAAATGTTTGTTTTCATTTAATTGGACTTTGTTATATAAAATTAAATAAAATAAAAATAAATAAATAAAAAAGTAGGTGTATCTGTTTACTGTCCACTGTTGTTGCCATGAAAGTAATGTTAACATTTTTATTTTATGTGCATGTATCTATGGGTGTATGTAAAGTGTACCACATTGTAGGCAAGAGCCCAAGTAGGTCAGGAAAGGGCATTAGGCCTCCTGGAACTGAAGTATAAGATAGATGATCATGAACTGCCATGTGGGTGCTAGGAACCAAGTCCGGGTCCTCTGCAAGAGCAGCCAGTGCTCTTAACTGCTGAGCCATCTCCCCAAATTTTTTTTTTAAGTCTCTCTGTGTGTTCTTATGTTTTATCTGCATTTGACTGATGGCATATGTTGCCAAATACCTTCCCATTTGCCTGTCTTCTCTATATCCTAGTGCCCTTTGACCACCATCTTATTGGGTGTTTAAACAGTTGAGTTCTGATTGTTCTGGATGTATGTATTATAGAAGCAAGTCCTGTGTCAGATGTGTGATGCAAGTGTTCTCTCCTGATTTATAGTCTGCCTCTTCAGAGGGTCATTTGCAAAGCAAAAACTTAAATTTGGGTCACAAACAAATTTTCAGTGTTTGCTTTAATGGATCATGTGTTTGGTGTTAAAAGAAGTCTTTGCTTAGTCTTACATTTGAGAACATTCATGTTCAGAGTTATATTGTTTTATATTTTATGTTTAAGGTGTGAGACTTAGTTCAGAGGTTTTTTTTTGTGTGTGTGGGGGGGGTCCACATATATCAGTAGCTCCTGCACCTTTAGCAGAGGGACAGTTTTTCTTCCCATGAATTGTTTTTCCACTTTTCTCAAAATTTGGTTGTTTTTTCTGCAGTCTGTTCCTGGCTCCCATTTTACCCTATTGTTTGTGGCAGCTTCTTTGGGAATACCATTGCCAACACCATGCTCCTTGATTGTTGAAGACTCTAATAAATCTATAAATTCTATATATTGATATTCACTTCACATTTCACAAAATTGGTTCAGCTATTCTAGGTCCTTCACCTATTAACATAATTTTTTTGATCAGAGTTGTCTATGCCTATTAAAAAATTCATGCTGAGATTTTGACATGGATATCCATTTGCCTAGAGTTAACATTTTCAAGGTTAAGTTTTACAAACCATGAACATTAGTAAGTCTATTTCTTCCTTTCTATACAAGGCAGTACTTTTAACAGCATACAAGTCTTACACAAATATTTTAGATTTATACTTTTTTTCTTCTATTTATTTATTTATTTTGGTTTTCCAAGACAGGATTTCTATGTGTAGCCCTGGCTGTCCTGGAAC